TCGCTTTGGCGGGCAATGGTATTCAAATCAGTGCAAGGTATGCGATATAAAACTAAATAATTTTGGCGACAAATGATGCAATGTTAACTTATAGGCTTGGCTCCTTCCAACCTATTTGAATCCATTTGGCACAATATGGTGATATGGTGACCATTAGTGACCATTCAATCGTAACTGTTGCTACTAAGCTAAGAGAGATACTTTTTGGAAAGGGTTACATTCTTGAATAGTTCACTGACATATCCATTGAAGCATCATATAATGATGTGGTTCCTAGATATATACTAAGTGACATATAAATCCGAACACCCAGTTTAAATGGTTTTATTTTAATAAAAGTTGGTGAATGTATTTATCTTACTGTAAATAACAAGTGAAAAAATTTTCAGCCTTATCAGTTGGACATTCCGGTTTTTATATTGCTTTTTTTTAATTCACTAACGCTCTAAAAATGAATATTTCAGCCGCAGTAAAGAATCAACGTTGGCGGATTTTGATTCTTGACACCCTTTACGATCGGTTACGATGCCTAGAGTACGGAGACCTGTACGATTTCGTCAAGTTAGTGAGTTTGATAGGGGCCGTATAGTGGGACTTCGGGAAGCTGGACTTTCTTTTCGGGCAATTGCAGTTAGAGTGCAAAGAAGTGTAGACACTGTGGTTAGGTGTTGTCAGGCATGGCTTCGAGAAGGCCGTACGTGAAGAGCAAGAGGCACTGGATGCCAAAATAGAACAACAGACCGAGAAGATCGCCGCCTGAGATTATTGGCCTTAAGGGACCGTTTCTCCACTACCAGGTCCATTGCAAATGAATGGTTTGCAGAACACGGAAGACCTATTGGTATGCGAAGTGTTTACCGACGAATGAGAAGTTTTGGCTTGTTTTCATACCGGCCACACTGGGTCCTCCCTTTAACTCGAGAACACCGACGTAATCGCCTTGAGTGGTGCAGACTACGGTCACTCTGGGATCAGGAATGGAACAGTATTGTCTTTAGTGACGAGTCTCGATTTTGTTTAGGCATGCACGATGGTAGTGCCAGGGTTAGAAGGCGACGTGGTGAAAGGAGGAATCCACAGTTTGTTGTTGAAAGACATGTTCATCACACTGTTGGAGCTATGGTTTGGGGTGCTATAGCTTATGGTTCCAGGTCACCTTTAATCTTCATCAGAGGTAACATGAACGCGCAGCGTTATATCGACGAAGTTCTAGAACCCCATCTTTTAACCTATCTTGACACCCTGGCAGATCCAACTTTCCAACAAGATAATGTCCGACCACATGTTGCAAGAGTCACAATAGACTTCTTTCAACATAATGATGTCACATTGTTATCATGGCCACCTTGATCTCCCGACTTATCCCCAATTGAGCACGTGTGGGATATGATGGGTAGGAGATTGCTCAATTTGCAACGTCCTCCTCAGACTCTAGAAGCACTTCGAAAGGAGTTGGTGGTTGCCTGGAATGAGATACCACAGGAGAACATTGACCACCTGATCAGAAGCATGCCTACGCGCGTTGGAGAATGCGTAGCACATCAGGGAGCATCCACACGTTATTAAAGATCAAAGGGCTTTAAAGCAGTGCAATCATTTTGAAATTTTTATCATTTACTTATTATGCTTCATTAAGTACTTATACAAAATTTTATTAAAATAAGACCATTTAAACTGGGTGTTCGGATTTATATGTCACTTAGTATATAAAACACACCTTCCGATAGCATTTTGTCGACACCAGATTGCAGACAAGTCGTTAGGCTTAAGTAAACGTTAGAATGATCGTGTTGTACATCATTTCGGATCTTTTTAAATGAATTGATTGTACAGTGTTAATAAAACCTAGGTCTTCTACCATCAACTGAAATAATAGAGATTATACGAGTATTTATATATTTGTCATTTACGATTAACAGCCGCATGCCGCAACATCTCTATATCTGGCAGTACTACTGTGCGATTATAGTGAGTCATAGATAATAATAATAATAATAAAATGTCTTTATTAGGCACATTATATACACTACAACATAATGTGACCTCTACGTAGGCGAAGTCTAGCTCTTGGCTACTCTACTTAACCTACCCAAATACTAAATTGAAACACTCAATCAAAGGAAACTTTGACAAGCAAAAGACGCTTCAAAACAACGAGCTTGATAGCTTCCTAGCATACATATATACACACATATATTACGTAAAATAAAATAAAATGTAAGAATTAAAAACTAACTTTTCCACAATTACTACAATGACAAAAAAATCTGTTTCACATGCTTACGAAATCTGTTTACTGGCCAATCCTTTATATTGTCATCTAATTCGTTATAAATCAGGATAGCATTGTAAGTGTATGAACTACTAAATAAAGTTGTGGGATCTCTATTCTTTTTTTGTGTCTGAAATCAATGTCTGAATTATTTCGTCTGAAAACAAATTTCTCATAAAGATACAAGGGGGATCTAGAAGATATGATCTTATGTGTAAACACTGCTATATGGTACTTGCAAGCATTTTCTATACACATCCAACCAAGCTGAAATCTCTTTAGGGAAACATGATCATACTTCTTGAGATTAAATACAAATCGACAACAAGTATTTTGGAGTTTTTGGAGTCTTGCTTTTGTGATAGAATCAAGACAATGATAGAACACAGTGCTACAGTAAAGTAAGCTTCGAAATATAATAGCCTCACATAACTTTTTTCTAACTTTAAAATTTAAAATAGAGCGATTGACAAAAAAACACTTCAAAGTTGCATAACATTTTTTTAATATAGACGAAACATGCTCCTCAAACCGTAAAGTATAATCAATAATCAACCCTAAATTTTTTGTAGTATTTACGACAGCTAGACGCTCCTTGTCAATTTTGACATCAAGAGAATACAATATAGTGTTACGTTTGACAGCAGGACAAAAAAGCATCACTGAGCACTTATCCTTATTGAGCTTAAGATTGTTACCATTTGAGTATCCTACTATTGCCTCCAAATCATCATTAAGCTCATTGATTGAAGTATGCAAAGTGTTACTATTAAAGCTCTTATATATCTGTGTATCATCGGCATAGCACATCACAGAAGAGTTTTTCACAGAGCTACCCAAGTCTATAGTATAAATTAAGTACAACAAGGGCCCTAAAACTGAACCCTGAGGGACACCTGATGTTATATCAATCGGACTAGATATAGTGTTGTCTATCTCTACTACTTGTTTACGATTTGAAAGATATGTTATAAAAAACATTAGAGGTATGTCTGAAAAACCAAAAAACTTCAATTTAGCACATAAAAGCTCATGATCTATTTTATCGAACGCCTTAGAATAATCTAATGATACAAGTGCTGAAGCATCTCCCTTATCAAGCGAAGCAATGATGTCATCTAAAACCCTTGCTAAAGCTGAAGTTGTACTAAAACCACTGCGGAAACCAGATTGACACATGGGAAAGAAATCATTATTAGAGAAATAATGATATACCTAATGTTTAATCAATTTCTCCAATATCTTCGATATAACAGGAATCAAAGTTATAGGTCTTAACTCTGAGAGTCGTTTTGGATTTTTACATTTAGGCAAGGGCTTGACAAGAGATAGTTTCCAAGCATCAGGGAAATACCCAGCCTCCAGGCAACAGTTCAATAAATGCGTCAGCGGTAGTAATACTCGAGGCAAGCAAAGCTTCAGCATTGAGACTGTTATACCATCTGAACCTGCTGCATTAGATTTTAGGGACAGAATAATATCTAGCACATTTTGTGGGGTAGCAAAACTAAATTCAAATCTAGCATTTTCATTAATTTTGGTACTATTAAATTTATCAACTAGATCCTTGCAATTGTAAAGATCTATCTACATTAGTTTTGAGTTTCAATGAATGTACAGCCTTCCAGAGATGCTTGTTACTATTTAGTTGTTCTAGATGACATGGGACCATCAAATTGGACCTAAGCACGTATTGGCGATACAAATAGCTGAATAAAGTAGTAACAGGGTAACTGTACGTCTATCCAGTAAACCGAATATTGATCTGACGCCGATGTTTTCTGAAGAATTCAGAAACATTTTGTAATTTGATTTATGTCTATCATTAATTTCAAGGAATTCAATAAGTAGACTTTTATACTCCACGACAGTTGTCTGATTTGACTAGTCTGCAATAAGTCTGGAAAGCAAAAGACATATTTTAATGGAAGTCGACTAAAGAATTGTTGAAACCTTCACTTGATTACCAACAGATATCTTCAAATTTCTCAGGTTTTTACGTTTTTTCTTTAGATTTGGTTCTATGTTATAACGTCTTATTATACTTGGAAAATAGGTTTTTGTAGCTAAACTAGACAAGTCATAAAGGATGTTTTAATCTAACTTGGGCTTAGGTGCCTGTTTACACAAGTCGTACAGTTTTGCGCTAGCTTCAGTGACATTTTAGAAGAAAGCGACTACAATCTTTAGATCTATCACTTCATACACGTCTTCTGATTGGTGAATTTTGTACAAACAGGTAAATTAACTCGGAGTTTATAAAAAATTGGAGCCCTAGGAAACATGTTTATCACCTTCTGTAACGAAAAATCTAAACGTTTTAACAGATGAGTCATCGCATAAGCATGTCACTCCATCATTGTACGTCGTAACCCAGAAAATAATTACCCGCACCAGAACCAGAGACCGTATGGGATGAAAAAACGTTTTCAAATAATGACACCGATAAAATCCCCCCTTTCCTCATCAACATCCAAAAATCATAGCTTTGGGTTAACGATTTCCTCAGGAGGAAACCTTTTATTTTCACTGTGCATTCTCCGTTCATTTTAAATTCATCAGGACGCTTTCAGATTTGCATTTTCTCCACCAAGTACGGTTTTCAATTAACTTGATCCTTTTTTACGAGAGAGGAACAATATTACCTTTTCGCAGCTGAGGACGGTAGTAACTTTACGAATCTCAGTAGTACAGTGAACGTGAACTCCAATTTGAGTATTTTCTTCAGATTCCGATGACCTACCAAGTATGGAGCTACTCCTCTCTGGGCATGTTAGTTACATAAATGTAAGACTGCCGCCTCCCTCGCCACGTGGTTTGATAGGACATTTCAGACTCGTTCTCACTTCTCTATTCAGTCAGAGACGTCAACGGATTTCGTGATCAATAATCTACGTTTTAATGTGCTTTAATGACGTTTTAGTAGTGTTGTTTAATATGTTTTATGTTGTTTTTAATGTTTGCGTATTATCGATCTTCCTTATGCTTTATCTCTTTGAGCAACAAACTATTTATGTATTAATTTGAGGTGCAACTGCAGTGTAGCCAGGGCACGTATACTAAGTGACATATAAATCCGAACACCCAGTCAAAATAATAACATACAAAATAAAATACAATTCATAAGAATGACAACATTGATGCACGAGACAAATGCAGATAGTATTGCGAGAGTTTTAAATTTGAAACAAAAATAGTAGAAAATAGTCAAACAAAAAAAAATAAAAAAAAATCACATGAGCACAAGAAAAACTGAACTAAATGGACTCCAGCAGCTGACTTTTCATTAATTTCTTAAAAGAAACAACCTGTTTGGATCGATAGCCACTGTTGACTGCATTGTAATGCTTGACAGCATTATAGGTGTAACTTCTTTTCAAAGACCGAGGTATTGTGAGGAGGCATGTTAAAATTAGCATTAAATCTAAGAGCTCTGGTAACAAAACTACCTCGGTGAACTAATTTGCTAGCGAGGTAAGCTGGCCTGTTAGGTAGTAGAACTTATGCGTGAAGACGGTCAAAAGATATAAAAATAACTTATCAATTCGCAACCAGTTGAGTTCTTTGATTTATCTGAGACGCGACTAAACTTACGCAATCCAAAATAAACCTACAACAGCTGTTCTGAATTTTCTGGAGTTTCCTTTTGTGGACGTAGTCTAAACATGGGTAATACAGAACAAGAGAGTAAGAAATTTCAGACAACACAAGACTTTCAGCGAGCTTTTTTCGGGTTTTAAAATTCAAGATGTATCGATTAGAATAGAGGAGTTTCAAACGCAAATACGTTACTCTAGATAAGAGAAGACATGCCGATCGAATCTCATATTACGTCAAGGGTAACACCGAGATTCTTGGCCTAATCCACAAAAGGGATGAGTGTCTCATCCAAGAAAACACAATCCTCTGCTTCATTTCACGGTAGGAGTTCTTCGAACAGTACAACATTGCAGTAGTTTTATTGGGATTGATCTTCAAGCAGTGTTTGTTACAGTAATCACCGATGTTAGCCAATCTAAATTAACTTTAAAAGAAACTTCCAACCTTTGATGGATCGAAACCAAACACTAACTGAGTATCATCTGCATAAGTTTGCATACTACAGTGGACTAAACAGTCTTGCAGATCGATCGTATAAATCAGATTAGTAAGGGACCTAATACTGAGCCCTGAGGAACTCCTGAAGGAACTGGCTCAGAGGAGGAAATTCCCTGATCAGTTTTCACTGTTGACGATTAGAGCAAGTATGACTCAAAGAACCTTAGAACCATATCTAACATTCCATAATGAGATAACTTACTCAGTAGTATCTGGTGATTGACTATATCAAAGTCTTTCGAGAAATCTAACTACCAAGACGGTGTTGATGTGATTTCCTAAATTGTGAATGATGGAATAGTAAGATGTAATAAAGACGAAGTAGTGCTGTAACCAGCTCTGAAACCTGACTGATGTAGAGGAAATAAGTTATTGTTCGAAAAACTCCACTAGTTGTGAGTAGACAGCTCTTTCGAGTATTTTTATAGAAAGCATAATAAGGTAATTGGCCTGAGATCCGAATATTGTTCTGGATGATTAGTTTTAGCTATTGGAATAATAATACCATTTTCCAACTGGCAGGAAAGTAACCTGTTTCGAGACAGACATTATGTATTAATTTAAGGAGCAACTGCAGTGTAGCCAGGGCACGTATTAGTTTTTCCAATATCTTTGAAACGAAATGAATTCATTTTCATCTCAATATTTAATCGAAAGTTGCACGTTATGTTTGAAAGTATACATCATAAATATCCATCTTTGAAAACCGGACACACCAGAACCACTTGCTGTCAGGTCTTACCTTTTGAAGACGTCGCAGGTAATTCCTTAATAAGCGTTACTACATATAATGCACTAATATAGTATGAATCTCCAGAATCACCAGATGTAACGGTCTGAGGCATTTTTCTGTAAAGATTTTTAGAAAATAAAATTGCACTATAGATCAACTGAAAGGTGATATGCAGGTAGCCATTCAAAATGTTTCTCCGAAAACCTATCAAACGTCTTCGTACAGCTCCCATTTTTCAATACAAAATTAAAATGGAAAAAAGGTACTTTATCTAAAGGATACGGGAAAAATGAATTAATTGTATATCGGTCGCCCTGCTGTTACATCTAGAAGATTTCTGAATAAATAAACAAATTATAATGAGCCGAGAAGTATTAAATGCTGAAATTATGACTGAGGTAGACATTTCAAAATGATCAGGGTCCTGAGGCTTTTGGTCCTGAAAAAAACTCAAATTTTAAGACGCATTCACGAAAATTTTACATTAAATTGTTTTAAAGCATATGTATTTTAAAGTTTGAGTAGAATTTTTATCTGTATTTCACTATTTGCGTGTTTTTTAAAAATTCTGTATCTTTATATGAGCACATTGTCCCAAGACTTTCTACTTCAAATATACAGGGTGTCCGCAAAGTTGGGGTTTTCCTTTTCAGAAACAACTACCCTTGAAATAACAAAGGTAATGTGTAATGAAACGAGGGCGACCAAGTAAAAAAAAATAAAGGAAAAAGTACTCACTCTCCAGTTGACGAGAAGGGCTAAGTACGTCTCTGCCCGAAATCATACCGCTCCAACAGAAAATGAAATCAGCTGATGCGCGTACGGAGCAGACGCAAAAACCACATTGATTATCTCACACTTAATGGCACATCTTCTAACAAGGAAGGCAAAATGTTGCGTAAAAAGTCTAGGTATTGCATTCCGTCCAATCGATTTGGGAGAATAAATGGTCCAATGAGCATACCGTTCACCATGCCAGCCCAAACATTCACCGAAAATGTTTCTTGAAAATGTGCCCGATGGACAGCGTGCGGATTTTCTACTGACCAAACATGAGTGTTGCGAAGGTTATTCACCCCATTACGCGTGAACTGTAGATTCGTCTGTCACCAATATGCACTTCAAAAAGTTCGTATTATTGTCATGTTGATGCAACAACAACTCACAAAACCGCACTCTTGCTGGAAAATCGTCAGGTTGAAGAGCTTGTACACGTTGGACGTGAAACGGATTCAGCCCCTCTTCACGCAGCGTTTGCCACACTTCAGTTTTTGATACTTGCACTTCTCTAGCCACGTCTCTAGTGCTTGTTGAGGGATTCTCGTCTACGCGATTACCTCTACCTGCGTGACCGTAACCGTCGGTTCAAGGTTGCATACTGACCTGACACACTGACCCCGACCCAGTTCTGTCGTCGGGTTGAGCCAGTGACCTTGTACCAGTCGGTGATGTCGCGGCTACAGGACGGTATTCAGATATTTTTGATGTTGCAGAGCCCTTTATCTAGGTTCCCTTAAGACATTGGTGTATATGGTACTAAGAAAAATGCTATGTTTTCAAGATCTACACGTCGTGTAAAGGAAAACCCCAACTTTGCGGACATCCTGTATAACGGAACACAGCAAGACATAAAACGTATACAAACAGGAATATGTTGCCACTACACTCACATAAGAAACCAAAGTTGACGTATGATTATTATGGTGTATTGATTTGTTTCAACTTCTGTTTTTAATATGACAGCAATGGAGCAAGCTTTCATTTTTATATGTTTCGTATCCAAGTGTGTTTTGTTACAGATTTATAGTAAGAAGTATTGACACCATAAGCTCATTTCGAAATACTAAGTTAAATATTCGAGAATGGGTATCGTAATTGCGAACATAGAGCATTTACAACACAGTGAGGTACTAAACTAAACAAAATGTTAGTGTAAACTTAAAATACGAATCTTCTGAAATATTTGTACGCAAAGCCTGCTTTCTAGACCCTGAGTGGTAGACTCGGTTGCATTTAAGAGTTTATCGTCCGAGTTTTGTTAGTCGTTTTTTGACACGTGGCACTTAACTAGTGAACAGTTCTTTCTATTATGTGTGCGACTAGGGCACGGCAACATTATCTCACAGCTTAATATAGCTGCTTAGCAACAAACGGCGACAAAGGTTCTGGATTACGGTTAAGCCACTTCCGCCGTTTACTGTTCTATATACGGATCTACCGTTTAGATACCTTAGCCTGATAAATAGTGTTGCTAATCCCTTTCTGATGAACTAACGATCAAACTGTGCCACTCTCCGACTAGCTGAAATATCACTTTATCTCTCTCTCAGATTTTCCAGGCAATTAATTCGAATGGGGCAATTAGTATAATTCATTTCGTCGATCTCACCGTCGGTATTAGAAAATATATTTTCGCTACTATAGGAAAACGTACATTCCTTCCGATACATCTACTGAATGTATGTTGCTTAACTTAAAAATTAATGAACAAGAGGGTAAAAGCTATTTCTATAATCATGGAGGATACATCGTCGTAGCGCCCTTTTGCGCTTCTTTCCGTGTTAGAATATCAGGGTGTTAGCGAGAAATAGGCATAACAAGGAAGTTAAACGGATGAGATGAGTCAAACAGACTCATGCAATTAAAATTTGTATATTTACCACTGTTTTTGTATAGATTTGAGAAATGATGCCCTTGCATCGCTTAGAAGAGAGAAAAAAGCATATATGTCACGTTTCCGGCATCTTAACTCTAGTCAAGCTTAGAAACACTTGAGGAGGATGAATGTGGTAGCCCAGAAACATGTTGCGATACCTCCCACTCTCCTTGAGCCTAACATTTTAAATAATTATTTTCTTTCAATTTTCCAGACATCTGCAGCTGATCCAAATTTGGTTGATAGTGTCTCTAACTCTTATAGCGATAGACGCCATACACCGGATGCACCTCTGTTTGC